ACATGTTTAATGAAGACAAAACTATTTCCTTAAAGAAAATGTTTCTATTCTTCCTATATCAAAAGGAGTAGAACCATTTTAATGGCATCAAATTCTGTCTCATCTCTGAAGAGATGTCAGGCTCTATTTTATTTTATTTTATTTATATTTTGAGACAGAGTTTCACTCTTATTGCTCAGGGTGGGGTGCAATGGCGTGATCTCGGCTCACTGCAACCTCTGCCTCCCAGGTTCTAGAGATTCTCCTGCTTCAGCCTCCCGAGTAACTGGGATTACAGACATGCACCACCACACCCAACTAATTTTTGTATTTTTTTTAGTAAAGACGGGGTTTCTCCATGTTGGTCAGCCTGGTCTCGAACTCCCGACCTCAGGTGATCTGCCCGCCATGGCCTCCCAAAGTGCTGGGATTACAGGCATGAGCAACCGTGCCCGGCCTCTCTTTCATTTTAATAAGTTGAAGCAGTTCTTCAAAATGCAGGGGAAGTGGGCCAGGACTTTTGAGCATGGTGATTCGTGATTCAGAGAATGGGATGGAAGGCAGAGTGTTAGTCTTCTCTGGGGATTTTCTCTTAAGATTTGTGTACTCAAGAAAGCAGTATCCCAGGTTTGGTGGTGTTGATAATAGTAGCTACTGTTTCTTGAGTATTTACCAATTCATTTACATCCTCACAGCAGTTGTAAGGCAGGTATTATCCTATTTTTTAAATTAGAAAACTGAAGTTTGTAAGAGTTTAATTTGTACAAGATCACACTGTCAGAAAGTACAACAGGTGAGAATTGCTTCCAGATTTGGTTGACATCTCTGTTTCAATATTGTCAAGGTAAAAGATTTGACCCTGCTGAAAGAAAGAATCTAGGAATCCTAATGGACACAAACCACAATTAAGTTTTGGGGTACTGCTGGAGTACTGTTGCAAAGTCAGCCTGACACTTGACACTGTGAGAAAGCATAAATCTTACAAATTGGGCTGTCTGTTTGCCTTGCACTCATCATTTATTATTTGGCAGGGCATCCTGGGAAATTGAACATTATATCTCCTAAAACATGTTTTAAAAAGGCTCTGTGGGACAACAATATTACTTCATATTTAAAAACATTGGCTGAGCATGGTGGCTCACACCTGTAATCCCAGCACGTTGGGAGGCTGAGGCGGGTGGATCACAAGGTCAGGAGTTGAAGACCAGCCTGGCCAAGATGGTGAAACCCAATCTCTACTAAAAATACAAAAATTAGCTGTGCGCGGTGGCAGATGCATGTAATCTCAGCTACTCTGGAGGCTGAGGCAGGAGAATCACTTGAACCTGTGTGGCAGAGGTTGCAGTGAGCCAAGATTGTGCCACTGCATGCACTCCAGCATGGGCGACAGAGTGAGATTCCGTCTCCAAAAAAAAAACTGTGTGTGTGTGTGTGTGTGTGTGTGTATATATGTGTGTATATATATATGTACATACATATATACATTAAAAACTTTGAGTAGGTAATGCATACTCATGGTTCAAAAACCAAAAAAAAAAAAAAAAAAAAATCAAAGCAAAAAATTTCTCATCTATGCTTCATTACCCTGGATTACCACCATACAAAATTAAGCATCCTTATTAGCTTATTTATTGCTCTGGATTTTTAAAAAATCTAAGCAAATATGAATGTGAATTATTTCCCTCCCTTTATAAGTAAAAGTTCCCTATTTTGAACTTTGCTTATTTTCTTAAAAACATATATTGTAGCTTTTTCATATAGTGTATAAAGAGCTGCTTCTTTTTGACAGCTGCATTCTAATTATGTACCATATTTTATTTAACCAGTCCCCTTTTGCTAAATCCTTCCCACCCCAATTTTTTGATGTTATAAATAGCAAACTGTGTATGTGTCATATATGTGTACAAGTATATCTATAGAATACTTTGTTCCTAGAGATGAAATTACTAGATTATTAATTTTCAAATTATTGGCAGCTCACTCTGCCTGGGATTTATACTCGATTACATTTCCAGCAGCAATGTACTGGAGTATCAGTATCTTCAGAGGCTTGATGGCAGTCTTGTCAGATTTTCTGAGTTTTGGCCCCATGAGGTAAAAATAGATGTCATTTTATGTATATTTATTTTATTAGGAGTGAAACGGAATGTCTTTTTCTTGAAACATTTGTATTTTCTTCTGTGTGTACTGCCTTTTCCTAGTCCTTGTTCATTTGTTCATCTTCTTTTGTTAGTCTTTTTCTAATTATTATCTGGGGGCATATGTGTGTGTGTACACATATAATATTAACATTTTGTGATATGAAATGGAAATATTTTTCTCCAGTTGGTCTTTTTGCTTCTGGTATTTTTTTCTAGGTGCAAGTTTTTTATTTTTTTTAACTTTTTATATGCAGTATAAATTTTAAGCAAACACACATTAAATAGCAGAATTAAGAAATGGGCCTTGGGAATAATGAGAAGGAATTGCTGTAGAGAACTAGATAGAACTTTATGGCAGTTTCAACAGCAATATTTACCTATTCAGCTAATATGTATTGAACACTAAATTAGAGTTAAGAACTGTGCACAGAAGTGGAAGGGTGTGGTGAGAAGAATCAGATATAGTCCTTGCCCTTAGGTATTTTTAAGTTTACTGGGATGACAAACATTATCAAATAATTAAAAATATACTATAAAATTACAGTTGGGTAATCCTTCCATGCTATGAGACAGTACCATAGAGGGCTTTAATTTAAGGAAGTCATTGGAGATTACAGTGAGTTATGAAACATGCATATGAATTTATTGGCAAAGGGGGAAGAGAAGAGCCATCTAGGCAGAGGCAGTAGCTTGTTGCATGGGGAGGTACTGTATTTAAGAGACAGAGAACCCGGTGTGACAGAAGGGAGAGAAAGCAATATGAAATTGGAGAGGTAATTGGGGGTCAGACCATGAAGGTCATGATAGGGAGTGTTAAGAACTCCTATGTGAAGAACAATGAGATGCCATGGAAGGATTTTAAATAGGGGAGTGACCTGATGAACAAGATTAGTTTAGATGTAGAGTGTGCAAGGATTAGAGTGGCAGAGTAGAAGCAGATGGACTAGTTAGCTAGAAGGCTATTGTAATAGTCCAGGAGAAGGAAGTATGGTAGCTTGCTATTGGTTTGGAGTGGAGAAGTGAAAGAGTTGGAAGAATATTCAATGATTGACTTAATATGGGAAGTGAGAGAAAAGGAGGTGTTAAGGATGACTCTCCTAGTTTTCTGGTTTGTTTAATAAGTTAGAGAGTGATACTATACAGTGGGATATTGTGCTCTGGAAGACAACCAGGTTTGGTGAGATGATGATTTTTATTTTGGATATATAGAGTTTGAAGTCCCTTTAAGACAGATAAAATCAGATGTCAAGTCAGCAGTTGAATATATTGATATGTAACTTAGAGATCGGGTTTGAGCTGCAGATATGTAATTGGAAGATATCTGTATAGATAAGTGGTAATTTAAATCATTGGTAGGAATGAGATAGCCTGGGTTAAACAGGTAGAAAGAGGATAGTTGTGGACCTAGAACTCAGTCTTGACAGACTTCAGCATTTAAGAGCATGAACCAGCAAAAGACAGAGAAGGAACAACCAGAGAAACTGGAGAAGAAAGCTAATAAAGGATGATGTTATGGTAGAGGACGTCATCTAGGTGCAAGTTTTTGCACCTAGGAGTGGCAACAGTGTTGAATGCTGTTGACTTGTATAGGTGAAGCAGGAGTGGCAACAGTGTTGAATGCTGTTGACTTGTATAGGTGAAGGCAGATGAAGGCCCATTGGATTTGATGTCATGTGACTTTAGAGATAGTGACGACGGAGAAAGCCGGATTGAAGGCGACTGAGGAACAAGTAGATTGAACAGTAATTATGGCTGTAATTGGTGACTAGAACAGAAAATGCTAACTGGCTGATACAGAATCAAGGCAAACTTCCTGATTTGGGTTCATCCTCACATGGTGAGGTCCAAATAGTAATACATGGAAACACAAATGCATGAATAAATCTATTGAGAGAGCCACATAAATGCTAAGTATCAAGATTTCAATACATCTTATGTATATGTGTGTATTATATATAAAACTCCAATTTACAATGGAGATTGGTTGGAAGTTCTTCCTGAGAAGTAAAAGTTGGGTGGATGGGTGAGAATAACAGAAATGGATAGATGGATGGTGGTAACCAGGGAGATTGCCTTACAGGGCCTTTTGCATGGTGAAATCAGTGGACTTGCTGCGCTGTAGGGGGTTGTGGGGAATGGGAACTTGAGAAAATGACTAGCAGGTCCAGCAAAGGGGAGAAAATGTGGAGAGGACCTAAAAGTTTGTAGTAACACCTTAAATGTCTAAGGTGATGGTCCAGTAGACTCCCTGGTTCTGGGTTGAAGTGGTTGGTTCAGAAATGAATGTTTAAAGAATGCCAGTAGTTTGAAAGAAGAAATAAGTTAGCCTTAAAAGGCAGGTATCATAAAACTAGTAGAGAAAGAGACATGTAAAAGCCAGATATTTAGATATTGTTTGTCATCTGTATAACCCAGTGTTAAAATGAAACATTTTTTTTTGGATTTCTGTACACAATTTACTGAGAGAACTGAAATTCATATGAATTATCTAGGGTCTCAAGCAAATTGAATACTAATGATATACAAATGTGCAGTTAACTTGTGGCTTTACTTTGAACCTTTGAAATATAAAGAGCCCTCTTCTGTCCAGACATCTCTTTGTCTTTCATTTATCACCTGGTGAATATTGTTTGTTTCCATTGGCTAAGGCAAATGAAATCAGGACATTAGCAGAGAGATTTGAAGTTGCTTTGTTTTCTTTCTCCATAAATGTTTTCAGTTTTCTGAGGCAAAAATTGTGCCCGACAAGTTGCTACAAATCTAAATGTCAATGTGATTGGGAGGGTGCCCTCTGGAAACACTTGCCTTGGCGGCATTTTCGGACCGATGCTTTCAAGTGTTTTATCATGAGAGGTAATCTTTGCACTTTCCTGTATGTAGACTGGTGATGTACATCGAGAGAGACAGCAGAAAGACCACTCCAGGCAAGGAGCAGCAAAGTGGCAATGAATACCTGTCCAAATGTCTGGATCTTCTCATCCGTCACATCGTGCAGGAGCTGCCACGAATCCTGGGTAAATTGGAGTCTCGTCCTCAGGCCCCATTCCTGCTCACCTTTCTAAGACTTGGCTTTTAGGCATCAGTTCTTTTTTATTCTTACTTGTCTGTTCTTGAAGGCAAATGCAAAGACAATTTTTCACGAATATGTAGTTTCAAGATTTAAATTTGCTTTATCTGTTTTTGTAATTATTTTGCATCAATGACGTGGTGAGGCATGATGAGACAATGTCACATTAAGGTGTGATCTGAGGGAAACTGGCGATTTTAGAAAATATACAAAAGAAAAGTGGTTTAATTCCTTACAATTGGACTTATGCTAGTATTTGGGGGTAACTTTTCTTTTTTGCCTAAATCAGAAGAAAAGAATTGTCTCTTGAAATTAGAGCACAAATGTATTTATTGTTTAAAAAAAACTTCAAAAATGCTTAGATTTTATTTTTTTCCCTTGCTGAAACAAGATTTTCTTTTATTTGTACAAATTTATTGGGTATATGAGAAATTTTGTTGTATGTATAAAATGCATAGTGATCAAGCCAGGGTATTTAGGGGTCGGTCACCCACCTACAATACATTTTTATTAACTATAGTCACCTTGCTCTGCTATCAAACATTGAATTTATTTCTTCTATTTTACTGTATGTTCATACCCTTTCACCCACTTTTCTTCCTCATCCCTCCACACCCACTCACCCTTCTCAGCCTGTATTATTTATCTTTTCATTTTCTACTGCCGTATAATCATTTTTTAACTCCCACAATAAGTGAGAATAAAAATGCATGGATTTTAATTTTAAATATTAAAATGTAATGTTAAATAATTTTGATATTCGTTTAAAGTTTAAAGTTTGAAACTTTCTTTGGTTTGAAAAATTTATCTTAAGATAAAACATCTAATAATGACTGCAAAGGATGTTTATTACAGCTAAAGAAATACCTTATTTCATTGTTATTTGCAGAAATTAAAATAACCTAGGGAGCATGTACATGTAGCTTAAATCCCATTCCATGCTTTTCCAGCAGATGTAGCTATAAACCAGAAATGTTTAGAATGTTAAATTTGATCCAAGCTATGACAGTAGAGGGTACTTAGATTCAGGAATTCAGAATATTAAATCAGAGTAATGAAAATATCTTCAAGACTGACTGACAGCAACTTTTTGCCCCTTACTGATACTTTAGGAGATTATTTTTGCCTGTTGATGACTGAAAATAGAGCCTTTCAAAATTTATTTCAGATTGTAAGCTTTTTTACCTCCAACCTGAAGTCTTTTATTTGGTCAGTTGGTAGCTAAATTCTTTATTACCGGACTTGTTCTGTTTTAGGATATGACGATAAGATTCTGATGTCCACAAAGCAAGTTTTATTTATTGTTAGATTTATCATCCAATGAGAAGTTTTGGGAATTTACCTCTTTTTACCTCCAACCTATTCTCTTTTTTAAAAGTTGTAAATCATGTTCTGTAATTCGTTCACATTATTATTATTATTATTAATTAATTAATTTATTTTTTTGAGACGGAGTCTAGCTCTGTCACCAGGCTGGAGTGCAGTGGCGCCATCTCAGTTCACTGCAACCTCCGCCTCCCGGGTTCAAGTGATTCTCCTGCCTCAGCCTCCCGAGTAGCTGGGACTACAGGTGTGCACCACCACGCCCAGCTAATTTTTGTATTTTTAGTATAGATGGGGTTTCACCATGTTGGCCAGGATGGTCTTGGTCTCCTGACCTTGTGACCCGCCCACCTCGACCTCCCAAAGTGCTGGGATTACAGGCATGAGCCACCGTGCTTGGCCCACTTATTATTTTAAATATTTTTTATTGTTTGCAAAAGTAACGCATGCTCATGATTGAAATTTCAAAAATACAAAAAAAAATTCTAAAACTGTTACTGTATTATAATTTATTAAATTTTATTTTTCATTTCCAAATGAGATGTTGAGTTTATTTATAGTGTCTTTGCAGAATATCACATTCTGTCCCCAGAGGCCATAAGTGTCTGCTGTAATTTCAGGACTTATGAATAAGTATATCTGCTTATTTTATTTGGAGATTAATTATCTTAGAAGTCCCATGGGTTTTCAAGCAATGACCAGTGGCTCTTAAGTTTTGTGGTTTTTAACCTCCACATGTGCTCCGTGCTGTGCTTCGCAGGTGACATTCTTAACGCCTTGGCTAATGTTTCTGGACGTAGACACCCATCAACAGTTCAAGTGAAACAGCTGAAGATGTGTCTCCCCCTGATGCCTATAGTGCTTCACCTCGTAACTTCACAGGTACTATCGTATTGAGGAGGAAAAGGATATAAATGTGCCTGTTTTCTTTGTAAACTGGAGCTGAGAATCCTCAACTCAAAACATTTTCTTTTTTTAAATTGAGCTAAAATTATACATAGCTTCCAGAATTTAATCTGTAGCAACTCTCATCGCACAGGTATTTCGACCTCAAGTTGTGACAGAAGAGTTTCTTTTCAGCTACGGAACTATTCTTGTGAGTAACACTAAATTTTCCTTGTTTCTAATAAAATTGTGGCTGCCTCTACTGTTTGTGGAATTTGGTGTCAGAATGAGGTAATTTAAAAATCCTATTGGTATTTATTTGTCTCTAGGGAAGTGACCTTTTAATATTTTTATCTGTTGACTGTAATAAAATTTGACATTTGGAGAAAACACATTCTCTCCTGATAATGTAGTTTGTTCAGAGACAGCCCAAATAGGGTAAATATGCCCACAGAAACACTTTTATAGATTTTGGTATTAAACATCATGAAAAAAGTGTAATAAAACTGGTGAAAATGGAATGCTGGGAATATATTATCATTACTCTCTACTTAAGCTTATATTGTCCAATCATGTGCAGTGTCTCTTTTTTTTTTTTTTGAGACAGAGTCTCACTCTGTTGCCCAGGCTGGAGTGCAGTGGTGCGATCTTGGCTCACTGCAACCTCTGCCTCCTGGGTTCAAGCGATTCTTCTGCCCCAGCCCCTACAGTGTCTCTTCTTATGATGGTATTTCTCTATGTTAAGCTCAGTTTAGCTTTTTCTTTAATTTTGAGGATACAAGTAGAAATGAAAAATCATTGTATTATCGTTCACTTCTGTTTTTGCTCACAAAAATTGTCTTTTTGTTTAGCTCGTGAATTATGTTATCTTTTTCCCTTGCCAGTAGTAGTTACAGTATATATGGTTGATAAAATGAGTAGTCATACAGAAGGAAAGCTAAAACATTTGTCACAGAGCTTTTCCAGTCTGACTTTGATATTAATAATAAGCTGAACAGAGATTTTCAAAATGCAATAGAGGTAACTAGTTAAAATGAGGTTAGCATCTCAATTTTATTGTTAGTTTGGAATTTTATTTTAAAAAAGAGTGCCACACACAAGTGAGAATATGGTTTTCTAGAAAGTTCATTATAGGGTGAAGTATGATGTTTGTAAATATAAATGTTGAGTGGCGGTTGCTGATTTTTAGGAAACAATGCAGTAAAGGTCCTTTTGAGCTCAATTTCAAATTTTTATCATTTGAGTACTTTGAATCTTGAATTCCAGAAAGTCTATAATTTTGTTACCACATTTATGAATTTGCAAATTATGAGAATTTTTATTTACCACCATCTTTTTACCTGTTTTTAAGTGTAACATAGGCATCATTTTAGCATGACTATGATTTTTTCATTTACAATTCCATTGCACTGGCACATTGATGCCTGAAATTAGTAATTTTGTCATGGTAACCCACCTTGGATTATTTTGGCACAGTGTTTGTTTGGGATAGGTATAGTTGTCTTGTATTCTTTCTCCCTCTCTCTTTTTTTTTCATGTGTAGTATTTTCTTCTGCCTACATTAACTGAGTATGCTTTAGGTTTTTAAGGAACTACCAAGATTTTCCAACAGAAAAGTCTTTATGGACTTTCAGAAATTCTATGTATACTGGGGAGAACTCATCTGCTCCTTGTAATTCTGTGTTCAGAGACAAGGGAGGAGGCCACACTGAGTGTGTCCATAAAGACTTTTCTATGGGTATTCTGTTGGGTCTTTTCAATACAGGGACTTTTAGGAAATGGAAAATAACTTGGCTGGTTTAGAGATCATGAAGATATTAAAAAAATTTTAGCAGTTTTTTCTTGATAGTCTCACCCAATTAGAGGAAGTTTAGGGAAGTAAAATGAAAGTCTTTTGCCTCTCTTCAGTCTATTTTCCTAGTTTGAATCATGGCCAGTCCCAGAATTCTTGAATTATTTTTCTTATTGTGTTCGTTGGTTGGCCTTAACTGTGTGGTCACCTTTTGTATACTCAGTGTTGATGGCACTGATGAAATACTAGTAAAGGGAGAGAATTACTGACTAAAATTCAGGACCTGGTTTTAGTTATCCATGTAGTTCTTGTGCACGTTATTGTGAACTGTTGAGAATTGAATGTTGCTTCTGTGAATTAATTCATAATTTTTCCAGAAGATAGCAAAAATGTTACTCGAGTTACAGTGCCTTACTGATGCTATAAGGTCTAGTCTACTCATCCAACATTCTTCTACAGACCCTTAGAAATTTACATTGCAAATTAGCATATTAAAACCCTTTGAGTTTTCTACTTTAAAATAATTTTTAAATTTTTTTTAGGCAAAGCGTTTCTAAACTATTTGAGAGGGCTTTTTAAATTTAATTTTATTTTTTTTTTCGTGATAGTGGTGGGGATGCACAGTTATGAACGTTCTGCAGCCCAGTCCACAGAATGATTATGTGAAATTGTCCAGAGCATAGTGCTTATTTGGTTCTGGTGACATAGGGAAGTAGTCCATTCATATTTACATACTTAGCATTGTGGAATTTTTTTTTTTTTTTTTCACTTTTTTTCTTTTTTTGAGACAGGGTCTTTCTCTGTCTCAGGCTGAGTGCAGTGGCACAATCAGGCTCACTGCAACCTCTGCCTCCCAGGCTCAAGCAATCCTCCCTCCTCAGCCTCAGATGTAGCTGGAACTACAGGTGTGTGCCACCATGCCTGGTTAATTTAAAAAAATTTTTTGAAGAGATGAGGTTTCACCATCTTGCCTGAGCTGGTGTTGAACTCCTGGACTCAAGTGATCCACCCACCTTGGCCTCCCAAAGTGCTGGGATTATAGGCATGAGCCACCTCTCCCAGCATTGTGTTTTGAAAGACTTACTGGTACATCTGGAGATAAATATTATTTTCAGTATTTCTCAAAATGTATCTCATGGAGTAGCTATTGTCTTATGGCAGGGATATTGTCCTTTTATATTTTAAAGATATGACTTAATTGGGGTATTCAAGCTTAGTCCACTTTTAGAAGCTGTATCCAGTGGCAGCACACCAAGAACTTTTGGCTTCCCTTGAGGCAGCTCTTCACGAGCTGCTGACCTGCCTTGGGGTGGGTGTGGAGATAGCAGCCAGGGTTGGTGTGATCTCTATGCATTAGAGGGGTTCTTAAGGAGCAGACTGGAGAAGGTAGTATTGGAACTGTGCTTCTCATTGACTTCAGTATTATAATGACACTAGGGCATGGTTTGCATATTTGACCTACAGACTTTTTTTTTTTTTTGGTACAGAAATTCAGGATACTTCTTATATATGGAGGCATAAATACAAGAATTACTTTTTTGTACATTTTTTCCCCCATGGAAAATGAAGTTTTGGTCGTCTTACATTTTAAAGAGACTAGCATTTGGAAACAATTCAGCAGAGTAATTTTAAACTATTATCAAGCTTTGAAAGACTCCTGGAAAAAGAGAACTACCCAGCTGATAATTGCTATTTTCACTTCTTATTGGCAGAAGCAGCCTGTCGTCTTACTCAGCTCCCTCTCCAGGTTTCAGCAGTCTAGTCTCTGGGGAAGTTCTGTGGTGAATACCATGCTTCTTTTGGGCCTCCATTGAATTGGGCTGGGAAGCAGGAAGTAGTAGATTAAGGAAATATTTTCAAGAGCTAATGATGTGTATTAACCTAACATTCACTGTATTTCTTATGTCCTTTTGAAAATGCATTTGATTAATGAGCAGAGGAAGCAGACTTTGTTGTGTTTAAGTTCTGGCCTCATTAGTTTATAAAAGTATGATGGCTTGTGGTGGTTATAATTTTCTGCAAAAAATAACTGAAAGATTATACTTACTGCCCTCTGTAGATTTTTATGTAAAGGAATGCTGATTTATTGATGGATATTGGCTTCAGCTGCAGAAAAGCCAGAGATAGTGCACTCTTGTATTTTTGAAAATATGATAGTATATATTTACTTATTTGTTGCCACCTAGATATTCTCGTCTTTTTTCTTTTAACATATCATGAATTTGTATCCCAGTTTGCTGTAGGAGCTTTTTTGCAGCCCCTGTTGGGGATCACTGAATGATACTGAGAGCACTGGCACACACTGCTCCACACCCTCTAGCCAGGGGACCTAGCTCAGGATGGGTGGTCTTTTTTGCGCCCTTGCTGAAACTCCCATCTTTTGAAGTTTGCGCCATGAGAAGATATTGTGTCACCCCCTGTGTTGTGGTCATCTGCAGATTTCTGGGTCATTGGCTCTTGTTCCTCAGCATTCCTTTAGCACTTGGCTCACCATGAGCCTTTCCTTGCCACTCCTGCATTATTGGTGGGGAATTTGATATCCCTCTGGAGGATCCTTCCAGTGCCTCAGCCTTGCGGCTCCCTGGCTGCTTCCCTCCTCAAGAGCTTGTCTGTCTTCCCATCAGCTGCCTGCTCCCATGGTCAAACACTTGACCTTACTGTCAGCATCCCCTTGTTGGTCCACCACCCCTGATTTTCAGCTCATTTCCTCTCCTCCCCAACTCCCACAGCCCTTCAGCTTCTTTGAGACTTAATTGTTCCTACCTGCTTTCCGCTCACCATCCTGCCCTGCCAGGGCTCTGCTTTTTCACTTTCGCTTTATTCCACCTAGAGTGCCTGGTCCAGCAGTAGTCACAATCTTTTTTTTTTTTTTTTGAGACAGAGTCTACCTCTGTCTCCCAGGCTGGTGCAGTGGAGTGATCTTGGCTGACTGCAACCTCTGTTTCATGGGTTCCAGCAAATCTCAATCCTCAGCCTCCCAAGTAGCTGGGATTACAGGCGTGTGCCACCACTCATGGCTGATTTTTGTATTTTTTGTAGAGATGGGGTTTCACCCTGTTGGCCAGGCTGGTCTTGAGCTCCTGACCTCAAATGATCTGCCTGCCTCAACCTCCCAAAGTGCTGGGATTACAGGTGTGAGCCACCATGTCCGGCTCTCTGGCAAATCTTAGTACTAGTTAAATTTAAGTTTCTACCTACCCTAACCCTGCTTTGAGTGGCTAAATATGGCTAGGGGGGGCAGGTAGAGGGGAAATAGTACAAATAACAAGTCTCTCTTAAAATTCACATCAGCTAATGACTATTTATATCTTCCCTTCTCTTTGAATCTCCAATGCCTCCTACTCCGTTCTCACTCTCACCTCGTTACTCCCTATTACACTGAGAATGAGAAGGAAGAAATATATCAAAGGATATTGAAA